AAATAGAAAGAAAAAGCTTTCTAAATCAATCCTTCCACAATCCTAGGAATATATACAATTCTATTTTCAGATCTGAACCAGTAACCCCACGTTTTCCAACACATAATTTATTAGCATGTGTTCGAAAAGGGGATCCATGTTTGAACAATTATTGGATTCTATTGTTTCTGAAATATATTTTTAAAGTTTCATTAGTTTGTTCACTTATTCATGTTTGTTATGCTGTTCCATTGTTGAGTGCTTGAAGGTATCCTTAATTCATTTATCTAAAAAGAACCTCCAGGAAAAAGAAAAAACCGTATTTGATCAGCATATATACTTATTCTTCAGGGTGGAATCACATCATCAGATCTTGCTACTAGAGCTTTGGAAGCAAAGCGTGCCAATGTAGTCGGACAAGCCTTGGCTGGTGTTCCCTTGTGGCAGCTAGGTCCTGAAAGTAGGCATCCAGGTGTTCCTTATATTGTTTTCCCAGGTAAGCTTAAGTTTTGTTAACATGCCCATGTTCATTGCCACGTTGTAACTAAAATCTATATTTGGAAACATGACTTGTAATCCTTTTCTTTCTGTAGGTAATGTTGGTGACAGTACTGCATTGGCAGAAGTCGTAAAAAGTTGGGCTTGTCCAGCTAGATTTGCATCAACAAAAGATCTCCTTCTTGTAAGAACCTATTACTGGAAGTTCATAGGTTATATCTTCTTTGGATGTTAACAACATTGTTCTTTGTGAAGAATGCGGAGAAGGGTGGATATGCTATTGGAGCATTCAATGTTTATAATCTGGAAGGAGTTGAGGCAGTTGTTTCTGCTGCAGAGGAAGAAAGAAGTCCTGCCATTTTGCAGGTGAGAAGTTGGTGTAGAAGTTAGATACATAATGGCATTGTATATGTTATAATTTAACCACAAATTCTAAGAAGATTTGTTTAGGTAACTGATAAAAGGAACTTGTATTACTACAAAGGTGGTAGCATGCCCTCAATCTGTACAGAAAGATTGATCTTTTCTTCAGAGTATTTCCCAATATTGGATAATTTGTTAATGGCTCCCCTTTACAGATACATAATGGCACTATATAGTTATAATTTAACCAGAAATTCTAAGAAGATTTGTTTAGGTAACTGATAAAAGGAACTTGTATTACTACAAAGGAGGCAACATGCCCTCAATCTGTACAGAAAGATTGACCTTTTCTTCAGAGTATTTCCCAATATTGGATAATTTGTAAATGGCTTCCGTTTACAGATTTACAAATTTGTACCCTTCAAGACTACTTATTCCCAATAGATCTGATTTCTTTTGACCCCTTGTTTTGCAAGCCCATGAACTAATCCGAAGCCATCTTGTTAATTTACCCAAGGATCAAAATATTTATATGTATCCATATTGGTGAGACGGTGACCATGGAGACACATGGATGCATCGATACAAAAGGGGTATGGGGGTTTTCAAAGTTTGGGAAGGCTTCCCCGATTCCTTTGTCTGATGAAATTTGAGTATCGATCTGTATCAATATTTTGATCCTTGAGTTTACCTCATCAAATGTCTATTTCCAAACAACTGCATAATTCCTTGTTATCCATCTCATGATTATTTGTGAGTCTCCTCCCTCAACCAATATATCTCTGAGATTCAGATATTCTACCAACCTTAGACCATGTAGTACAGCCTATATTTCAGACCAAGCTGAGTCACCAGCACCCACCAGCCTGGAGAAAACGACTATATCTTCCCTCAATTTCTAAACACTTTTTTTCCTCTGTGTTGCCCTGGGTTCTCTTAATTGCCTGACCTAGTATTTATCTTCTATAATTTGTTATCTCCATTCTTTTAGTAAATTTCCGGTTACCTTTAAAGAAAGAATATGTTTGAGGCTTCAATGTTCTGATCGTAGGAAGGTGCCTGCATTACACTAAGATGCAGCTAAAATAAGTAATACATCATAGAGATTGGGTTTTGGCGTGGCTGCCCTAGTCTTCAGCTGAAGTTCAACTTGATATAAACAACAGGTCAGGTTAGCCTGGTTTTTTTGTTGAGCCGGGCCTACTTGCAATTGCACCATACACTTTTTGTTTATATGTTAGGCATGGGTATTTGCTACTTTTGTACAATTTTTTGTCAATCAATTGTTGCTGATGTGAGATTAACAATGGCATTACAAGTTACAACATGCATAATTTATGTTGTCAACAGTCCCTAGGAATATGAAATACAATCATGAGGGATCCACAATGATGATATAGGTTGGTTACTTGATCCAACATGTTAACATCAAGATATGTGCAGTGTTAGAGTTAGCCGAATAAGGGTAGATTAGTCAACTCACCTTGGTTAAGTTATGGGCTTATGTGGCAGTCTTATTAGAGGTTCTCTGTCCCATACTTAAGTAGGGGCAGTTTAGTCCTTGTACATTTAATAAGAGCCTAATCACTATTAAGAGGTCGACTGATAGGGTTTAGCTATCAAGTTCGACAGTTCTTTCATTTTC